CCAGTTGGTGCCCATTCAGAGGCAGGGCCCAGAGTAGGCAGGGCAGGAAAGCCAGAGTGCTGCCTCTGAATGAGCCAGTACTTGTCTCAAATCATAATGGCCAGCATGGTACTAGTTATGCCCACAGTGGAATTTTGGTGACATGAATCTCTGCCATGTATTGCTGAAGTTAGGAAGTCGATGTAGGCATTTGCTGTTCCACACCAATCCTGTGACTTAATTACACAGCAAATACCTGTGCTAATTCCTTAACATGGTAATTCACAAGTGACATTTAACTCAGTGGAATTATGTCAGTGTAACTTCTCAGTTGGATTCTGGTTGTTGTGATTTAAATGGGTCTGTTTCAGCAAAAAATCATATGTAATTGGATCCCACTCAGAACTGGATGAGCTGTTTACAAGTATGCTGAAAGCACTGAACACAGCTGAGTTTCTTTTACTTTCATAGGGCTATTGTCTACTATGCCATGTTCTTCATTTATGATTATCTGCTCCTTTCAGGATTTAATTTCTGAATTCATGTACAGAGTTTCAGCCTGAGTAGAATCCAAAGCCTTTCATATATTCAGCTTTTGTTCTGTTTGTAAGGGGAGATACTGTACGTACGTATATCTGGGGTTCCCTTATCAAATGTTTGCTGTTGAAAAGAAAACTGGGAAGTCCTTATATGTGATGTGCATTTGGACTTGGAGCACAGCCATTCAGCCCTGTATCGCTGAATGATGAGACCACCGAACTCCACTTGGCTATGCCAAGCTGAAGGTAAAACAGGTTCCTCACAGTTACAGCAGCACTGATCAGATGGGAACAGTTCATATCACTAACTGTCCACCCTAAATAAGTGTTTAAGAAGACAAAAGAGAATGTACATCTGTTATGTGTAGCACTTTTTTGAAAAAAGTCAAAAGCCTAAGTATGATAGTGGTGGGAGAGTCAGGAAAACAACAGAATCAGGTTTCTCTTTGCCAGCCAGTATATCTTTCAGAGGCATTGTAAAATTGAAGGTGGGGGCAGCTGGGCTTTAGCTGTTAAAAAAAAAATAAGTCACTGTAATCCCTGATCTTATATGTAAATTTGTATCCACCCTCTTGTGTTTAAAGGGGATTTTATAAAAAATGTTTTGATTGCTGTCATTGTTCATATGTCCTAGTAAGTAAAGTCAAGGTAATGTATTGTAACAGCACACTTGTACATGTTGTTTGTTTGTATAATATGGCAAACTCCTGCAGACCAATCTGTCCTGTACAGAAAGCAGCTAATTGATTCCTCAGTATAAGAGGTTTGCTAAAACAGGTAACTTACTTTATATACTAGCATAATGGAATTGTAGAATTGGTGCTACTGGGAGAGGGTCAATGTCAGCTAAATAATTCAGCATTCCTTGACTCATTCCTAATTGTGGATAAAGCATCTGCACAACTTGTTGGGACTATGAGAAAATTCACTGTTATACTGCTCCCCAACCTTTCCAGTGAATCCTTTTTTATGAGTCTGTTACTCATAAAACTTCTATTAAACATTTTATTTAACACTCTGTGTCAGTTGCTTTTAAGTAAAAATTAGATTTTTCATACAGAAAAGGGAGATCAGTAATTTAAAATGGTCATGTTTATATCAGCTTTGGTTTAACCACTGTCATATCATCAGGATTTTGCTAGCAATCAGATGAAATCACTGATATACTGATGTTTTCTTCTGTCTCTCTCTTTTAAATTAAATCAGTTTGGTGTGTTTATAAAATAACTCTATGACCAGAGTCTTCCTATATAGATAGATAAAGCAAACAAGGAGCAACTTATAAAGGAAAATGTATAGCAATTCCTTTAAAGCCAAGAGTTGAACATTTATAAAAAACATTAAAGTGCTTCCCAAGGTTGTTATCATTTGTAGCTAGACCAATTCAGAGGCTAAGAGACCATGCATAGGCCAGAATCAAGTTGCCAATTTATACTGGCATAAGTCAAGGACAGACGTAATGGCAGAAAATTACCACTTATTAAAGAGGAGCTGATTGTGTTCTGGATGGACAGCCAGGAACACAGTCATTATGTTAATTAGTAGCAATTTGTTGCTGTGACATACGCACTTTGACTTATGCATGTTTAAATCTGCAGCTGAACTCAGGATACAAACGATTAAATTACAATGTACAAGTTTGCTTCTTGATCAGATTTAGAGGTACCGCATTTTTCCATGTATAAAATGACACTTTTTCCTTAAATAATTAGAGAAAAAGTTGATGATTGTTTTATACATGGAAGGCAGCCGCTTTTCCCTGCTAAGCAGGGCTTAGCAAAAAGGAAGGGAAGGCTCTCTTTGGGTAAAGCAGCTATGAAAGGGCTGCACGATTGCAGCCCTTTCATCCTGAAGCCCTTTCATGGCTATTTTACCCACTTCCTAAGTCCCGGCTTTTAAAAAGGTTAGGATCAAACAAGCTCAACACAAAACTGCTGGCAAGGTAGCTTAAATACATACCCAAGCATCACACTGCTGAGAATAGTGACAACCTCAATTCAAAATCATTTAGAAGCTAAGCCACAAACATAATTATTGGTAGAAAAAGTCTAGGCCTTTCTGCTATGAAAACATTAAAGTGTCATGAAAGCACTCCTGCATCTTAATCCTTAGTACCTTCTTTTCCAAGGGCATCACTTCATATCACATGACAAGAGATTCTGTCACTAGTGCATAAGGTCTTCTGCCTCTGTATTGACATAGTCTTCTCATACGCTTTGACCCAGTTAAGTGCTACAGAATGTGTCGGGTGTTCTTATAACAGCCACTCCGATGTGTTACTACTGCTGACCCAGTGCTACTTCAGGTCTACTACTGCCTATCTGTACACTTGCAAATGTTCATAATTGAGGCAGATCTCTGTATGTCTCACCCCAAAGACTCAGAACCTTCTGCATAGCTTCCTTCTACTCAGAAGCACCAAAACTACTTCCTTCAGAACTGTGCTGTCTTTAGTCAGATATGATATTTTGCCCGTCTCCAAATCCAGGAGAGTAGGCTCGCGGCTGTCATACTACACAGAGCTTTGGAGTCACACAAAACAGTGGGAATCCCACAATGCTTCTCATGGGTACCAAATCGCAGCAGGAGATTCTAATCAAGTTTGTCATTTCACACATGGGCAAACAATAATGAAATCAAACTGTACAGTATCTAGATTTTTGTAACCTTGACTGGCATTTCTGGATGCCTATATATAGTCGCCAAAAATAACTTTATGCAAAAGCCAACACACATTCTACTGTTCCCACATTCAAAAGGAAAAGGGTTTCCTAAAGCTTCCCACTGCTCAAAGAAGCAAGAATCTAAAACAACAGACTGAGCCACCTACAATTTTTTCTAGAGCAGCCTCCCTTAATCGGGTGCTTTGTAGTTTCATTGAGTTACAACTGCTGGGAAATGATGGAGGTTATAATCTAATATATCTGGAAGGCATAAAGTTGGAGAAGGCTGTGCTAGGGCATGGGTGGGCAACTTGTGACCTGTCATGTTGCTGTACTACAACTCCCATAGCCCCTTGTCATTAGCTGTGCTGGTTAAAGTTAATGGGAGTTGCAACCTAACAGGATGAACAACCCCAAGGTGGCACCCCTATGCTAGGGAGTCCATGGATCTGGAAAACCCTACCAACCATTTAAAGGGATTTTCTGCTAATGTTCTTTTGATCTGATTGGTGCTTTTGTTGAATTGGTCACTTTGGAGGCAGTTGAAAGTACAGTAGTTCATCTCACCAAAACACCTTCTCTTGCTCAGCAAAAACAAAGCTGCTCCTTCATATAAAGGTAAAGGTTCCCCTTGACATTTAGTCCAGTCATCTCCAGCTCTAGAGCGTGGTGCGCATCCCCGTTTCCAAGCTATAGAGCCAGCATTTGTCTGTAGACAGTTTCCATGGTCACATGGCCAGCACGACTAGACACGGACTGCCATTACCCTCCCACCATAGTGGTACCTATTTATCTACTTGCATTTTTACATGCTTTCGAACTGCTAGGTTGGCAGAAGCTAGGACAAGCGACGGGAGCTCACTCTGCCGCGTGGATTCGATCTTACGACTGCTGGTCTTCCAACCCTGCAGCACAGAGGCTTCTGTGGTTTAACCCACAGCGCCACCACGTCCTTCTAGTTCCTTCATATACATATGAGCTAACAGCAGTGAAGACAGAGGTGAAGTAGGTGAAGCACATGGAGGCAAATTTGTGCTAAGTACAACCAAAGTATTGGAGTATTATTCCAAAACTTCATTCTGTGGTTCTGCAACTTTCAAGATTGTCCAACACAATTTTTCTAAAAGATTCACAGCATGCTGCGATTTAAATTGGAGAGAGAGGGGGATAAATAAAACCCTTGGTAGCATATTGTCACAGCTTTCCAAGGGATGCTGAAGATAAGGTTTCTTATTCTTTAATAAGAATAAGATGATGGAGCCCCATTATTAATGGCATCCAGAATGCCAGCTAGTCTATTTCTACTCAAAGGCTTTCAATGAATTGTTGAAGACCTGGACTTGTCCTTGTCCAAGGCCACTGATTCACATATGTACTTGACCTTTGCCCTTTATGGCTTATTATATCTAACTTCAAAAGAGAAGTCCATGTGGATCCATGAGGCTGTAAATTATTCCATGGCAGAGGGGAAGGAAATCCCTGGCACTTTTAAAGAAGAAAGTTCTGAAACAGACATCACAGAGAATTATGTCACAGCTGTAAAAGTTTTTACCAGTAACACACAAACACAAACCTCTTCTACCTGTGGTTCCAAAACTTTTCAGCATTACATGCCTCTTTTTGAGTAGCTCTCAGTATGTGGCCAAAGCCTGCTGGCCATCTTTAAAAAAGAATAAAATGTTGAAGAGATCTGGAATTTGGCTATTCGCTTTTATGGTGCAAGTGAGACTGAGTCAGTCTCTCCCTTCTGTTGGAACAGAATAAATGATAAATGTTGATGCTTCTTGGTTATACAAAACTAAACACTTTACTCAGAATACATGCTTATATTCTTTCCCTTTTTATAGTGTGGAGCTACATCGCCACATGTCTATTCTTAAAGAGACATAGGAGAGGAAAGGTGGTAACAAAGGAACAGCAGGAAGGAAGGTCAAAGCCTTTGTTATGTGGAAAAAACTGTTGCCCAGTTAGTTACAACTCCATGTTCTCCATACAACTCCATACAGCATGTTCTCCTTTTCTTCTTTTTGATGTAAGAAGCAATGCAATGGTCCTTCTGGAGTAGATCAAGTTCTGTCATTGCTGAGGGGATGCCAAATGTATGCAGTCCTCACATTCTTTTGGAAGTCTCCTTCTGCGTCCCCTTGCTCCCTACTGACACCCAGTGTTAAAGAAGCAAGCAAAGGTGTTATTTTCCAACATTTTCTTAACATCCTTCTGATTGGGTTTTGATGGATGTTTCTAAAAGTAGTGGGTAAGTAACAGGGTCTTTAAATTTGTGACAAGCTAATTATGGCTTTAGAAGAGGTACCTATGTCAGTCTGTGTAAGCATATCAGGCAAAAAGCAAAGAAACAAAACAAAGACAAAAACATGTGGCACCTTAAAAACTATTATATTTTCATGCAAGCTTTCATGGAAACATCCACTTCATCAGACATTAAGAAACAGAAAGAAATGGAATGAAATGCAGATGAAATAGCACTTTCACATTCTAAATGTTCATTGGTTACATGCAGTAATTAGGCCTATGTTTATTTTATGGTCCTGTAATAAAAATATTTCAGGAAGACAGAAAACAGTCAGTTTTGAAAGGTATGGGGGAGCAGTTCTGAAAGGTGTGGGGGAGAAGCATGTGGGGACTGATGATACAGTTAACCTCAAAAGGAGAAAGAAAGAATGAAAGAAGTGGTACTACTCTAAGGATTAGCGAGTCCAGCTCCCCCTCAAAGAGGCACAGTGGGGAACTGAACTCCATATCCAGATACCTAAAACCCCGAGTTATCCAACAGTTCTTCTCTTACACCTGCTGACCTCACAGTACGCACCACTGAACCGAGTACGGCCCACAGGACTGAGTACTAAGTAGGTACCTTTAGAAGTGGTACTACTCAAGGCATTGAAAAGGTACACTGAGAATTGGGGTGGAGGTGCCCCTTCCCCCTGACGTGCGTCAGGCCCAAGCATTGCCCCCCCCGCCTCCACTTGAGCCGACAGCCGCCACCCCCCTCCTCTTCCCGGTCACCAGGCATGGGCGGTCCAGCCTGATGATGGCCCCCCTCGGCCCTGAGGGGCGGCGCTACGTCATTGTTCGGCTCTTAAGGAAAAAGGCGGAGACGCCCGTCTTGCTGTTCTGTGGAAGGTCGGTCGTAAACCGGGAAGAAGAAGAAGAGGAGGAGGAGGTGGAGGGCCGACAGCCGCCACCCCCCTCCTCTTCCCGGTCACCAGGCATGGGCGGTCCAGCCTGATGATGGCCCCCCTCGGCCCTGAGGGGCGGCGCTACGTCATTGTTCGGCTCTTAAGGAAAAAGGCGGAGACGCCCGTCTTGCTGTTCTGTGGAAGGTCGGTCGTAAACCGGGAAGAAGAAGAAGAGGAGGAGGAGGTGGAGGAAGAGGTGGCTGTAGTAAACTGGGAAGAAAAGGAGGAGGTGGTGGAGGAAGAGGTGGCGGCCGGCTGAGGCGTACCATGGCACTCGAGAGCGCCTGCGAGTACGCGGTGGTGATGTTCAGGTGAGTGTTGCCGGGCGGCTGTAGCAGAGGTTTGGGGCGCCTTCGTGCAGGTTTCCTGGTGAGGAAGACCCTCCACCAGCCAGCGCGATCTAGTAGTGCCCAAGATTTTGGACCGCGATGCAGGAGATGTGACTTAACGCTCTACCCGCTCTAGAAACTCCTTCCTTCCCGACTAGTCTCTGAGCAAAGTCTAGGTAAAGCTACTTTTTAAGATGTCTCACTCACCTTGAAAATACTATTCGGTTACTGCGAGTTGGATGCGACTTGGCGGAACTTGATAGTAACCCATTCGACGCTGCTGAAACCGGACTTGCAGGCTGAGTAAGTGTGCTTGTAAAGTTTAGTCCGGGCGGCGTGGTCTTGGGGCGCTGCCCCCTCCCCCCCCCCCCCCGGGGCGACGCCGGGCCCTTCCCTCTCCCTTCCCCCGGGGGAGTCTCTCGGAAAAGCCGAGCATCGTTGCCTTGCGAGACGGAGAGGATTCGCTCCGGGC